TACAATCTTTACATTACAGATGTTCTCAATTATACAAGAATGGCTAAACAAGTGAAGGCCAGGAATAAACGCAATCTATAGCTGTAACTGCATAGTTCATTTTAGTAGTCTTTTTTTTTTGCCATGACAGCTTGTTAACTGGGATACTGATGATTCTATCTTCTTTATTGTCTGATTTTCGCTAAAACTAGAATCGTCTATAGTTTTTCATTTTCTTTAACATCAGAGAGGTACTGGAATATGTCTTTATTATATGGAGTTAGACCAAAATATGTACAGCCAACTTTTGTGTTGCATTTATAAAACTTGAAAGCCTAATTATATTCTTCAATTTTTATGTGGGAATGACAGAATATAAGAGTAATATACATTTCTCTTCTATTTTAATGCCAAATGCACATATAAAACCTTTCATTAGTTGAAACAGTATAAAACGAAGAAACATCATTAAGATATTTGGGATCTTGTTGTTGTTGTTGTTGTTCTTATGCCAGAACGTCAAAAACCACCAACTAAGCCATGCCAAATAATAAATAAAATATAAAGGAAGTATAACATACAGTGCTCATAGACAAAGTTAGAAGCTATGGAGACTTGATACTGAGATATTATGTGTAGTTCCTATTGAAAGATAGTGTGATGCCACACTCAAATAAGTGCGGAAACAACAGTTTAAATTGTGAGATTTTTTAATAAAAGGTAAAATACCTTTCAAAGTCTTTTTAGTCCAATGAAAACAAATACCAATGTAGGTCTTCTGAAAAATGAAATGGTGTAAATAAAGTTTCAAAAAGCAGGGACTACTTTACACATGAGAAATTGGATGAAGATGCAAAATCTCCTCCTTTGAAGTCTGAAAATCCACTTTAGGATCACTATAAATTGTTCTGATTCAATAGTACATAATTAGAGAAACAACATCATGCTGTATATATACTATCCCTTCCCATGCATAAAACACATTGAACAAAGAATTTCAGATATAATTAAACATCTTTAATATTGTAATGAATTGTCATCATCACTCTGGCTTGGTTTAATAACTAACAGAGTTAGAGTTTGGATTACTTACAGGCTACTGTGACTGCTTCATGTTAGGACAAGACATAACACTAATTAGCCTTTTTTAATGCACAGTATCCTGAGTTTAAAATCAAGAAAAGACAAATGTGGATTGGTTAGTAATTACAGGTTGTATGTAAGCTGAATATTTCTAACATTTCAATTGCTTGTCTATAATTAGTACTGTGAAGACACTGCCTGGCATAATATCATAATTTTTAGATAGATTTGAAGTATTTTTTTTCAGACATAAAACATATCTGAACCAAATAAAGGTAAAGAAGCTAATCTTAGCAAATGACATGAAACACAGAGAACACCTTGATAAACAAAGTTGAAGAAGAGAAGAAGAGACACTCTAGATTGCCATTCATTGATGTTTTGTGTGTCCCCTTTGGACTGGGATCGACAAAAACTAGATTTAGCCAAATCAATAGTTGTACTCAACCACTAATGACAGAGATGCTAATATGTAAGTGATAATATATCTTTTTTAAAAACAATGTAATACATGCCAAAATCTCCTGGGCATATAGGTGAAAACAATATATTAATCGTAAATTTAGTTTAATTTAATTGTTTACTTTAAAA